CGTGGGGTGAGGGCGGCGGCGGCGGTAGCGGCGGCGGCGGCGGCGGCTCCATGATAGTGATGACCACAAAATTAGGGGAGCTCCGGATGGAGGAGTAGCTCATCAGTGAGCTCAGACGTTCAGGGCTGAGGAGGAGCTCTGTGGTGGACTCCTGGAGCACGTTCAGCTCTGACACCAAGTGGCGGTCATCTGGAAAACTCTTCACTGCCTCCCCTGGCAGTTTGGTGACACTGCGGCAAAAAGGGCACGCCACAGCGTCAGGAGACGCCTGGCCCAGGACCAGGATCTTGCTGAGACATTTGGCACACAGACGGTGGCCACACCCTAGAACCTTCGGCCTGCGACTCCCGAGACTGTAGGTCCAGTAGCAGATTCTGCACTCCAGATGTTCGGGGCTGACCGCGTCCATGTGGACACCAGGTCCGTCGTGACACCACCGCGCGGCCATCGGCGCGATGAGTCGGCGTTGACGACTGTGGGCAGCTCCAGGTCACTGACATCAACGACGGCCCACCCCAGTGGGTCTGGTGTTCATGTGCCATCAGTGCTGGTGTGGATTTGTATGAGTGAGTGAGGGGGAGGGGTAACATGAGAGGGAGAGAGAGGGAGAGGGAGAGGGGGAGAGAGAGAGAGAGAGAGAGAGAGAGGGAAAATTCCCAAGACCAACTTTATTCTCAGAGTTCCAGCCGTCGTAGAACTTTTTTTTTTGGAGGAAGAATTTGCTACTAAAAGTTAAAAAGTCCTTGAAACCGGTCAGGTACGGTGAGTACCGAGGGTGAGTGAGGGGGAGAGTGAGGGGGAGAGAGTGAGAGATAAGTGATGGGACTGCAGCAAACTGACTGAATGGACAACAAAGCAGAGACTGTACAAAGTGGAATTCTCCAGTCTGCTCTTTTGTTACTCAGTGAAGTTCAGTCCAATTAGTGGAGCTCTCTCTCTCCCTCCCTCCCTCCCTCTCTCTCCCACTCCCCCACTCATGAGGACACCAAAGCCATATTCATTAAATCCAGTTTAAACCAAAGTTTTCAGTGTTCTAAACCAAAAGTTCTCATTTAGGAAAAAAACTCCAGAACACGAGGAGAACGTTCCACTTCACGACTCGTAAATCAATTCATTGATGGACGTTGTTCTACGTCGTCAATTATGACGTCACGCAGTAGGAAATGTTACAAAATGCAGTTGTACATCAGTATTTTAAGATATTCTTCTATTCATATTTCAGATTTCATTAAGAACTCAACAAATCCTCCTCCGTTGATAATGTATCAACACCAGTCCTTTGGTTTGAGAAATGTTTTTGTTTTTTTACAGCTAACCCAGACTTTTACTTTGAAATTTCATCCACCGGAAACTTCCTCAAAAACACTTCACCGAACTTGACACGGGTCTGTCCGCTGGAGCGGCACAGAGACAGATTCCTGCACGTCTGACCAATGCGGGTGTACCGGGGAGCAGGAGCCGCGGGCGGCGCGGAGTCGACGGAGCCACACCCGCAGTGGGAGAGTCCTGCCGCGGGCGCAGGGTGTGCGGTGAGCGGCCTGGTCAGCTGGAGGCAGAGACCGTGCAGGACTTCAGCTCTGTTTGCTGCAACCAACGCGCTGCTGTGGTAGGAATGACTCAGGACTTTATTATTTTAGGACAAACACAAGGAAAAAACTAAAACAAAACAAAACAAACCAACAAACAAACAAACAAACAAAAAACGGCTAAAATGATCATAACAGTATTGAGTGTATTCTGTTGAGAGGACTTCAAGACTGAATGATGTCATTATTCAACCAGACATCCTCCAGTGACAGTGAGAACAAATCATTTACTGGAAGGATTTCATCTGAACACCAGGATAAAAACGAACGAACTCTGAACAAACCAAGAAGAAGAACCAAGAAGAAGAAGAAGAAGAGGATGAAGATGATGATGGAGATGAAGGATGATGAAAAACATGAAGAGATCCAAGTGTCTTCAACTGCAGTGAGAGGTTTAAGGCTGTGGAGAACCTCAGAACCTCAGAACCTCTGAGATATCAAAGACGGAACAAACTTTGAAGACATTGTTCCTGGTTATATAGGAAACAATTGTGTTACGTGCAATCTGTGGTCCTGCCGCTAGGTGTCCTCAGAACCCTAATTTGTCTTTTCAGGTTCGTGGCCTACACCTGTTTAAGAACATACAGCCTGGTGGCGGCGCTGCTGAGCCTACTGGTCGTCACTGCTGCTGTCAGAGACGTCGCGAAGTCAGGTAGGACAGGAGGCGTGAATAAATAGACAACTGTCAGAGGACACCTAGTGGCTGGAACTGTAATGACAGTAGGACGGGCGGTGAAGTCAGGATTAATCTGGAGATTCTACTACACTGTACTACACTGTACTACACT